TGTGGCAACTGTGGGGGCCTCATATTCAGCCCATACACGCCATCGCATTGGGCAGTGCACTGCAATCCCTAGCGCGGATGACGAGTCGCAAGCGTACAGAGTATGAACAGCCCAAATTCCTGTCAGATGGTGAGCATCAGGACGCGCGCTGTCTGCACTCGCACGGGCCAACGTTGGGCAATGGATTGTCAGCTCTCACCGGTCCCAGGATTAGTCCTTTCTTCCTGGTTCACAGCGCATTGGACATCAGGTATGTCCAAAGCATGTTCTGAGATGTGACACATGACGCATCGACTTCACAGCAAAGGTGATTGTGTGTTTCTCTGGCATGTTGGCAAAGCTCTGGACGCATAACGGCTCTAATTATGAGTAGTATCAGCGAACAGTGCAGACACGGGTGATGCGGCCATCATGTGGCCAAAATCATTACTTTCTATCGCGCCCGCTGCTCGTGCCATTTTCCGATGGAAATGTGGGGAAGTTGGCGATCGGATCTTGGCCGCCTTGCGTGCCTTTTGCCGTTAGCAGCTACGGTTGGAAGAATTGAGACCCTGGTGATTTTCAAGGGCATGAACATTTGCGGAATCATATACCCACGGCATTGCCATGATGTGGCGTCATAACATATTCATGCATATGGAGCAGAGGCACGGCTACGTGCTGCATGGCTGCAGAGCATGGTACTCTTTTCACAGCTCTGCAACACCGCTGCACTGCGTCCTCTAATCCAAAAGATGCACATGCACCAAGTCGTTCTTTCTGGGACGACGCGTGACACTAATCGTCATTCCCGACGGTGATCACTAAGTACATATGCCGGCCACATGCAGCTTGAAACTCTACCACAACGGGCCTTGCACTGCAATCTTTAGCGCGAAAGAGAGGCCCGGATGTACAAAGGACGGATCATGCCACAGATGCTTGTTGACCGGTGCATGACGAGAAGCGAGGTGCCTGTACCCGCATACGCCCCCCGGGTAATCATTTGCCGGCTCTCACCGGCTCAGAGCCTGTACTATACTGGGAATCTGTATGTCGTCTGTTAACAAGAAGACTCAAAAGGTACGACAGATCAGATCCCGACGTTTCAGCTTCATGGGAGAGACACGCCGTCACTTGGCCAAGCCTGAAAGCTAGCGGCAAGCGCGCAGTGAAGCGACAGGTACGGCATCCATCATGAAGCCAGGTTTGTTACTTCCTATCGTGTATCTTCTGGTGTCTCTTCAGATCGTTCAGCCTCGTGAAAGCCTTGCCGCACTCGGGGCACTCGTGCGGCCTCTCCCCTCGATGACTGAGCTCATGGTTCTTGCGATGAAAATTGCGCGAAAACGTCTTTCCGCACATTGTGCAGGCGTGGGTCGATGCCTCGCGCTTCGTCGTAGCAGTAATAAACTTCTCGGCTAAGTCACTCATCTCGGGATGGAACGCTCGTGTGTGTCTCTCCAAATCTTTCGCGTTGGCGAATCCTTCAGCTCCGAGGCAGTCCGGTACTTCGCACTGGAATGGCCTTTCGTGGATGTTGACGTGTCGGTTGCGAGCCTTTTCATCCTTGAAGCCCTCTGAGAAGTACCTGCAAGTAATCCTCGTGCATCTGAACCGCCTTTCCTCGTCGTAGAATCTTTTGTATGCCTCCTTCTCGTGTGCAGTTGGGCCAGGCTTGCTCTTGGGGAAGATCTCAAGAGCCTTCCGATTCCGATCCAAGGCCTTCGAGAGGTCTTCAATGCTGATCTTGTGTTGTGCATCGAAGCCTTTCTGCTGGAACGTGTAGATGTGGCTAGTGAGCTCCACTAGATGATCGTGGAGGTCGAGATGCTCGAATACCCTGCACTTGGCCTTACAGTCGTCCACCAGGCCGTTGGACCAGTCCACGTCGCCATAACGCGTCATGAAATCATCCATGGCTTTGAAGATGCTTTGTAATTGACCTGCCACGTCGTTTGCCTCGTCGAGGAACCTCTCCCCTTGGCCTACCCAAGCGTTGACATGGTGGAACCATTTCGCGATGGCATAGTCCTGGAAAGCAATCGATCCGTCCAATACGTATTGTCGACGTTGCGCTTGATCATCCGGGTCGTCGACGTCGAAACAGGGAAAGGTGAGGTACTGTAGACACAACGTCGCCAACTCGCATTCGATTGATGGCTCGTGGATATCTTTCGTGATACTGGTGATGTACCTGTTCCCGTCAGGATAAGGACTTGACGAACACAGACTGATTGACGTACGTCTTAGCTGTGCTATGAACGAGAGACACTCGGTCGCCATTAACAAGCACTAGTGAGCCGCATGTTTCGTAGATGTGATCGCGGAGATGATGGTGTTCGTATTCGATGATCTGACAATCTACATCGATCGAGAGTGCAACCTGTATCTCCTTCCAAGTAAGCCGGCGCTTGGCACACACTAACCTAGAAGACAAAGTCGTGGTTAGAATACAATAGGCAGATCATGGGATCAGAAGACAACACACCATCCGAGTAATTGCTTGGTTTTTGGCCATCCTCTGCCAGATCTTGTTTTGACGCGTGTGACTATCCGCTCATATCTGTCGACGCGGTTAATGAACGCTCGATGTCCGTGACGAATGTACGAATATCGAGCCCAGAAGATGTCGCGGGTTCCCTTCGGTGTGTACCTACGCTTGTGCGAGTCCTGAAGGAAAGTTCTCGGTCTTGATATAGTCCAAAAGCTCCGCTAGCGTCATACACGCGTGAAGGTCGAGCAAAACCAATTTGGCGTAAAGGAACATGCCTGCCTTGGAATTAGACCCTGACTGCGTGTAGTGATTCATTAAGCGACTCACCTTTTGCGTTAGCCACGATAAGGTTACGAAGGTATTCTTTCATGTCTTCCGTGAACAATGGAAACTTTGCCTCAATTCGATCTACCCACATCCTGGTGTAGGTCTTGATGTCGCCCTCGTTGTCTTTTTCCGAGATTTGCAGAATCTTGGGCGCCATCTTGGTAATAGCGGAGCCGTGAAGCTTTCTTCTTATATCGGCGTGGTCTTGACTCGCGATCAAAAGGCGGATAGTGCCCGGATCAACCGCATCACGCTGACCTACGAGTTCGGTTAATATATCCAACACTTGGCCTCTCTCCGCCCCTTCACACTCGTCCAGCCCATCAACGATGATGAAGAGTTTGGATATGGTGAAGCAAAAGTCTTCAAGAAGCCTCTTCGCTTGGTTGAGAGATCTGAGGGACGGTTCTCCACTCGAGGTACGCCGTGTGTAGCAGGGAGGCAGCATCTGTGGATAATGGTCTAGTAGTTGATCTGCCAGGCCCTTCAGTATACCGACCGCGGTGCTACTCGTTGGATCGCCATCGTGACAGTAAAAGAAGCAGGTGATGAAGTCAGGCCTGGCCTTGCACTCTTCGACGATGGCCGATGCCAGTATCGTTTTGCCTGTTGTCAATCAGCGTCACACCGCAGACACAGTGACAATACACACCGGCTCCTGGTATTCCGTAGATCCAGACGACGGGACTGTTCGGGATATCGGAGTGTATCCAATGTTTGATGGTTTCGTGCTGTGTTACCCACTTGGCAGTGGTCGCGCATTCGCTCCGTATCTTGCAGAAGCTGTCATGATCGAATCGAGGTAAGTCTCCAACAGCCAGCCAGTCTTTGACGAGCATCAGCTTCTTGGTCTCTTCTCGTTTGACATTCTCTTCCAGCTTCGCCCGGAAGTCGGCTACGTCGTCCTGGTAGAGTCGGTATTGGGCGAGACTAGCACGGCACTCAACTATGTCTTTGTGCCGGCGAAGACTACTCAAAACTCCCTCAAACTTCGTATGGAAGTTCTTCCACCTGTATCCCAAGATTAAGCATCAGCGCCATTTTCTCCTGGATTCCGCACGCAGGATACTGACATGGATTTGAAGAACCGAGTCCATACTGTATCAAAATTAGCTAAAGCATGCGCGGAAATCCGGCAGGGCTAGCCTACATCTGCCCGAAAAGAACTTGAGCGCTTGTTGATGGAAATCCAAGATGTCCAGATACATCATCTCCAAGGCGTCGATCATATGGGGCGATTTGTGAAACAATGATTCGTATTCGACCAGCAACGGTAGCTGTTCGCCAATTCTCTCATATGCGTCCAGAAGTTGTTCGAATGAGTCGGCAAATGTGCTAGCCGTCTATGCCATGCGTTAGCTGAGGCATCGCTCCTCATTGACCGTCAGTGTACCTACCAACAAGATGAACTTCATAGGACCCCAGACGAAGGCGACCGCGTCTGAAACGTTGAGAAAGATCTCTATGACTTGGCCAAATTGGTGCATGGCCTCCAGACATGATTTGACACGAGCGAGGTTCATCGCTTCCATTCGGTGCTCTTGCTCATGTTGAACCTGGATTAATGCTTTGCAGAGCTGATCGTATGTCGTCGTACTAAACTCCGTGAGTTCCGTGCCTGTGAGTTTGTTGCGAAACTGCGTTATAGCACGGGTCAAAGCGGTTCCCGTCGCATGCCGTGGTGGGGTGAGCCCTCCGACAAGGGTCGGTTGCTGGGACAGAGCGCCCGTCGAAGTGCGACTAGCCGATTGCGAAGGTATTGGGCCCGCCATTGAACTTCCTCATCAAACGTCGTGTGGAAGTTCGGATATGCCAGTCAAAGATGGGATGGTTGTGCTGCCACGCCAGGCAGCACTAATAAGTCGAAGATATGTGCGTAGGCCATGACTGACCAGCTGCGTTGCTGTGGAGGGGGCGGAGCAAGGCTGAAGATGTGCGTGTGGCTTATCGGCATGCAGGACGCGGCGAGAGGCTGCAACGTAGCCTCCCGGGTGCGACGAGCTGAAAAGACCACATATCCGCAGCATACTAAGCATACTAAGCAGCGCCTCTTTCGCACGTCTCACGGATGTCGAGTCACATATTTCGAGTGTAGTCTAGAAGTTGGTTGAAGTAGACCCTGCTCCGCGAACCGAACTTCTGCTCGGGTGGCATTGTTGCCAAGCCGCTAGGACAGAACGCGCTTACGTCACGCGTCATGGCGCTCAAGCACCTGCTCAACGACGACGATGTCGTCAACTATCACCACGAGAGACACAGTCCGCATCTCAACTGGTTCCAGCAAGGTTCCTTGGATCAGTATGCGATAGACGCTAGGATCGGGCGCGAGGCTGATGATCGTAGTTTTACGGCGGCTCTACCAACTAAATCCTGGGATCAATACGTGGAGGAACTGCTTGGGTCACAGGACGCACAATGCGACCCACTACTGGATGGAATCGACATTAACGGCTCGTTTCAAGAGACGAGTCGCGCTATTGAAGACTGGACGACCGGGCAAGCGCAGCATGAGTCCACTGAGGAGCAGACTCTAGCTGAGCAGGAACATATCTGTTATGGCATGGTAAGTAGGGAATCAACAGTTGCGTAGACATTGTCACATTTTTGCGGCGAGCTGATACGTTTCAAGATTTTTAGAGCCGCTGTTCGCCTCCGAGGCGACATGGGGGAGCTTCATCGTAAGCTCAACAACATCGCATCATCCCCGATCACAGGCCATGCGCGAATGATCATCATCAAACCCGAAGCCCGATTCATTGTCGCTTTCCCCGAAGGGGGTGTCGTAGGAGATGTGAACGCCCAGTTAGACGGAGCGTTAACGAGCATCGCAGAACAAGGCTATGAGATCGATCTGGAGGTCTTCGCGCCAACGCTGGTCATCCAGGAGACCATAGGCCGCGCCACGAAGGACAAAGAAGCCGTAGTAAGGGTACAGATAAACGTTTACGGCCCATCGACAGCCGCTTGCGACATCGGCAAGGAGTTGTCGCAGCAAAAGATCTACCTGCAACGCCCTGTGTACATACGAGATGGTTATCGATACGAGAATCCCCATATTCTCATTCTCCCTGGCTTCCAAGGCTCGACACCTGAGATACCAACCATCACAGAAGAACCTTTGCCTGACAAGGCCGGTCTGCAGACATTGAGAAGCACCCTCCAAAATGTGTATTCCTCTTTGACGAGGGATCGCAACCTGCACGGGTTAGAGGGTGACGAGCGCCTCAACACAGATCTTTTGTTGTAAGTTCCTTTCAATTCGTCTCCGTTTACCTTTTGCTCTCACTTCCGAATATCGATGCTTCGCGATCACCCGCTGATAGGCCCAGGCACCAGAAGACAGCACTTTCTTTCATGATGCAGCGCGAAGACGGGCCCATACCAGAGGAGTACACACTCTGGAGGCCGAGCGAAGAAGATGGAGTCCAATGGTATGTATCCTGCATACGGCCTTGTATAATGCCGCTAACACCACTAACAGCTATCGTCATGTTCTGACGAGAGGACGTTGTGAGTTCGTTCTTTACATGTTCTGATTTTAAAGCATACTAAAAATTCGATAGCCATGGTCGAGCCTAAGGAAACCGGCGGTGGTATCCTGGCAGACGAGATGGGGATGGGAAAGACTCTCTCTGTACTAGCCCTTGTACTACGGACGCTAAACACTGCGCACGATTGGGCCATCCGCATCGATGATCTGAACGATGCGACTTCGGAAATATCAAAGAAGAGACGCCGCTCCGGAGCGACCCTGATCGTTGCATCATCAGACCGTGAGTATACCATCCTTGCGTTACACGCTAGCGCTTTTGGACTAACGGCGCAGTCATGATCAATGAATGGTTTCAGGAACTAGATAAGTAGGTCACATAGATCGTTGCATACTCTCCAGCTGCTCACCTTGAAAGGCATTTTGACGAGCCTACTCATAATGCCATGAAAGCGATCAAGTACCATGGCCCTCATCGACACGTTTCCCTGGGGAGGCTTATGGAGGCAGACCTTGTCATCACTACCTATCATACGCTCGCGTCAGATTTTGCCAGGACCAAGCATGAGTTGAGGCATATTGAATGGTATCGTCTCGTCATTGATGAAGGTGAGTGATTTATCGAACGTCAACCTCTCAACATTGACGACTATCTCGCAGCCCACATTATACGACGGCAATCCACCATCTTGTACCGGACTGTAGCTGACATCGCGGCCCGATCGAGATGGTGTCTGACTGGCACGCCTATACAAAACCGCCTGGAGGACATCGGCTCCTTGTTCGCCTTCTTGAGAGTAAACCCGTTTCACAGCTTGTCAAACTTTCGGAAGACGATTGCTATACCTTTTGATGAGGGCGGTAAGAGACGTACCATTGCGATTGAGCGCTTCACTCGCCTTCTGGACTCCATGTGCTTGCGCAGAACCAAGGATGTTCTGCATTTGCCGGCTGAGCAGCACCGAGTGAGAGAGGTACCGTTCTCGACAGAAGAGCGATTGCAATACGAGCAGACCAAAGAGATCATGTTTCGAGCTGTTCGCAACCAGAATGGCACTTTCGATCAAAAGAGTACGCTGGGCATGTTCCAGGTACAACTTCAGCTACGCATTCTCTGCAACCATGGTACTTGGCAGCAGCCATTCTCCTGGAATCGCCGCAAACTGCATTTACTGGATGAGAGGGAGGCTATGGAGATCTCCCTGGGGCGAGACGGCGAGATCACGTGCTCAGTATGCCGGCAACCCATGCCCGCCTTCAATAGCGGCTCCATGTTCCATCGCTATACCGAGAACTGCCGGCATGTGTTGTGCTCTCAATGCCTAATCCAGAGCACGCCTAGTGGTCACGACGAAATACCCAGCAAATGCCCGCTATGCCAGCCCCTGTGGAATGTGTCCACCGAAGCACCTCGTTTCATGGACGCATCACAAGAAGATACTTACTTTCGAGCAAACGGACGGTCTTCGAAGATGGAAGTCTTGATGAACGACGTCTCCGTCGATATATGGGATACGAAAAGGTATGCGCGATGGGATTACGCATGTGAAGGGCAAGATTGACAACCCCGCAGCATCATATTCACTTGTTGGACGCGCACCTTGAACTTGCTAGAGAGCTACCTTCATTACATGTCTAACAACACGTGGACCCATGAGCGCATCGACGGCGAATGCTCAACGACCAAACGCGAACGTATCTTGCATCAATTCACGGAGGACCCCAATTTGCGAGTACTGATCATGACCACCGGTACCGGCGCAGTAGGGTAAGTCGGCCACATCCTCTTCCAACCATCATCATTGATCCCGTCTACCAGACTCAATCTTGCAACCGCAAACCGCGTCTTCATTGTCGAGCCTCAGTGGAACCCTTCAGTCGAGAACCAAGCTGTTGCGCGAGCCCTGCGGCTTGGACAGAAGCAGGCAGTATTGGTCACACGTTACGTTGTGGAACAGACGGTGGAGCAGGTAAGCGCATCAAGGGACTCCTGTCATGATTTGTTGTTGACTTTAGCAGGACATGCGCGCATTGCAGGACACTAAATTGGAAAGAGCCAATCTCATTCAGAGTGGCTGAGTGATATGTGCAAGGCACGTCGCCACGGTCGCTTCCGCGCCTCTTGCACCACCTCCGAGCCTATACCTCAGATGCAATGGATGTACCAGTGACGAATTTATTAACGTACTTGGCTATGTACCCGGCAGATGATTTAGCAACGGTCAGATCTCAAAGCGCAATGACGTTTTTCGTGAGTGGTCCTTCTGTGCCAACGGACCAGACGTTGAAGTGAAAATCGATTGACAGAAGCGTGCTTCCTATTCGCAGGTGCGCGCTCCGTATTCTGACCATGTCAACCTTACACAACGCCTTGTATACCCTTGTGCGCCTGCAAGCCACTGTGTGTGGAATGATAAATCGGTGAGCCGTCCGCTCACATGGGTAGGTATGACGCATCACAAGAGCTGTCTAGCCTTCACCGGTGTCTGCTGCGCCACCCGTCCTTCTTGTGTGTCGGCTACATGGAAGTAATGAATGACCCAATTTTGGGCGAATGACACCATTCGGAGTGCGGGTATCGGTCACCCGTCCGCGCTAAAGATTGCAGTGCAAAGATTCAACGGGAAGCGGCAGCGGCCTTCCCGCTTCTATTTCCTGACATACATGGGCTCAACGGTCTCTTCCACGCCAACTATCATGGTGCAAGACTCAGACGCCACGCGGCAGCCTAACAGCTTTTTGAGTGGCTACCATGCAAAGTTGTCCCGTCCTGACAGTTCGTCGGACCTCTGATCCGATTGGTCACTCTATCCTTCCACACGCTCGTCCGCGCTAGGAATTGCAGTGCAGCCCCTGCATCGACCGGCCCCCGATGGTTACCAGCTCTCAGGTTCGAAGCTTCAAGACGCCTGAGGGACTAATATTCACGAAAGGTTTTCTGCGTTGCACTATGGGAGCTGGAGAATGATAGATGAAACCTGCGCATTTCACACCACAAAGCTAAGCCGACACACGATCATATTGTCCAACAAGACGCCTCTCTGGCGATAAAAGACAGTCTATCTACATCTCACAGCACCCGCCGCAGCTCCAGCAACTGCGAACACACGCCCCTAATTCCTCTCGACCTCCTTCAACTGGACCCACAACGGGTCCTTCTCCCAGACGAAGAACGCCCGCTGGTTATCCGGCCAACCGTGACTTCCGACTTGCAATTCAAGGTCGAAGTTCCAGATGAAGCGAGCAGCAATGATGCGCAGCTCGTTATAAGCCAAATTCTTGCCGATACAATTCCGAGGGCCGAAAGAGAAGGGTTGGAAGGCAGACTTCTTGTCTGCGTTGAACTGTGGGTCATGGTAAGGATGGTCTGGGCCGAGCCAGCGTTCGGGAATGAAGGAGTCGGGCTGGACGAAGTTGTTGGGGTTGTGGTGGACGGCCCACTGGAAGATCGTGATAAGAGTCTGAGAGGTGTTGTTAGCTGTGACTGTCCATGTTTATTCGAAGTATTTCTTCTGACTGATGTATGACAGGCAAAGTGATCTGGAATGACTTACACCTTTGGGAATCCAATAGCCGTTAACGTACTCGCCAGGAGACACACGTGGAGGCGTATCCGCAACGGGCGGGTACATTCGTAAAGTCTCCTCAATGCAGGCATGCAGGTACTTGAGTTGCGCAGTAGACAACATCGTTATGTCTTTCTCGTTGGCGAAGGCCGTCCGAACTTCTTGCTGGAGCCGCTCGAAAGCCTGCGGGTTCGTTGACATGAAGTAGGTGAAGCCTGACAGTGTCGTGGCTGTCGTCTCGCTGCCAGCCACGATCAAAGCCTCGGAGTTGCCCAGGATCTCTGCATGGCTCATGCCCTTCTCGTCGTTGTTGCGAAGGATGTACGTCATAATGTCCTTCCGACCGCCGGGTGCTGCGCCAAGTGCCAGCCTTCGCTCTACCTTCTCGTCACTCATGATCCTGTTGTTATGACGCGTTTGCATGTCCTCTTTAGAGATCATCAGCCGTAGGATCCAGCTGAGGCCAGGCATCTTCATCAATGCAACGATTTGCGCGCCAGCTCTGATGCCAGCAAATATCATGGAAACCCATGGATGGTAATCGCTGCTGTCCAGGCAATGGAACGATTCACCCAGGGCCAAGTCGCCGATGATGTCGAAGGTGGTGAAGTTGAACCATTTGACTACGTCCGTCGGGGTGTGTTGCGCGGCGTCTTTATGTAGGTGGGCAAAGAGCTTGTCGACGTACTCCATGATCAACGCCTCCTGACCCTTGATAGCAGCATCGGAGAAAGCATGTGCCATAACACGGCGTTGACGTCGATGGTCCTCTCTGCTGCTAGGAAAGATCGACTTGCGTGAAGTGTCTCCGCCCTGGTAAAATTCATGCCACCTGCCGAATTCGGGTCGGCCACTGCGACTTAATCCGAAAACTTCAGGCCATCCAATAGTTCCGTTGATGGATATGGAGTTGGGCGAAGTACGCACCATGTCACCGTACTTTTCATGGTACTTCAGGACCTTTTTGGCGAAAGTTCCTTGGATGCTGTTCTCGATGGCCAGAGGGATCCCGGAAACGGCGAAATGCTTCGGTCCAGGAATCTTGCGAAGGGGGTGGAAGAAGAGACGATAGATTGCAACGCCGATTGCACTGACGACACCCTGAGAAAGCGTTAGAGGGTGACTGCATCAGCGAGATGAGAACACTTACAATCTCGACTAGAAGCAGCACAACAGCTGCAGCCTTCTGAAACGACATCGCTGTCGACAGGTTGAAGATGATACCAGATGTGGAGTGACTTCGACGGCGGCTTGGAAGACAGAAATCCTGGTCCTCGAATCCGCGACGTGAGATGTGATGCGGATATGTGTAGAATGATGGCGATACCACTCCGCACGGGAGGACGACATTATATATGCCCTGCGGCAAAACCCCCTGGGTAGCAAGACTCTTTACCCTGTCTCTTCAACCATGGCTTCTACAGACTGTATGATGCCTGCCGACGTTTCGCGTTGACATCTTGCGTGGACCCCATCCGTACGCGAGAGGATGATCCTGTGGTGAACGACCAGGCACAACGGTCGGATCTCGAATGTTTCCGGGCGCTAGCCTCGAAGAGTGACATCTGCCAAAATCTCCGATGGGGAACGCTAGGGTCGGATCGCGACTGCTCCGGCTTCCGTCCTTGTTCACGCGCCGTTACGTTGTTGAGCGCGTATATACCGTATTGGAGGTTTTAGTGCGAGTGTCAAGCTGGGATGTAGCAGGTACGTTTTTCGTCTAGTGCTTCCAGACGGATGTCGTTGCTAGCCATCCGGTCGCGCCAAGCTTTTGGCTCGGTTCTACACACCCCACGATCGGCGTAATCTCTTGTGCCCAACGCCAAGCCGGTACGTAGGACGAACGTTATCAGCCTCCAAGGAGATGTGTTCTCTACCGCACCAAATCCGTTGCGCGCGAGGTGTTTTCAGCCTCGCAATCCAACAAGAATCCCGTCGGTCATGTTCTCAACGAAGGCGTGATCTATCTGTATTGGGAAAGCAGTGCGAAAGCCTCGTCGGTACGCGCTGGATAAACTCCTTGTCGCTATGTCGCCGCATATTGGTCGAGACACCCAGAATGTTGCGCACTCGCGTCTCGGAAAACAATCATCGCTCTTCCGCGCTGAGGATCGCAATGCAACGATACCCACCTGGGCAGCCAGTGGCGGACAAGCAGATCCAGGTAAGCATACACGTGCTCTGGCGCGTTAGGGATTGCAGTGCAGACTTACTGTGCGCGCTCAAGGTTGCGATGTCGTTGCAGAAGCTACCGGACGAGATCAGTCAGGCTTGGCCGGCGGCTCACGCTTCAGAAATCCTGCCCAGGTGCCCGTCCGCTCACGTGACTCACACGTGCTCTTCGACGCTACCTAGGTAAGAATCGCAGTGCACCGCTGCTTCCTGCAAACCGCTGCCTCCTGCAAATCGCTGCCGCCCGCACTTGTGCACTTCACCCTGAACATAGCAGTGCATCATCTAGACGAGTACCATTCATCGCACAGTCCGTTCAACAACCAGATGTCCTTCACTACGCCGAACGTACGATGGAGTCCACATCTGGGCAATTTCGGGAGGCCGCTCTTCCGCATACACCAACGCTTTCGCTGAGGACTGTAGCACACACCAGTCAAACCGCAATGATGGTGATGCAGATCACGTCGACGCAGGAAGGTGTGGTTCACTTTTACAAGATAGGTCTTCAATTTCGCTAGGGATTGCAGTGCACAAGCGCCGTGTGTCAGCCTGCGGAGAGGCGCTACGTTGAACAGCCGATTCGTCATCGACATGGTTCGTACATGGACTCGTCCGCACTAAGAATTGCAGTGCAACAAGGCCAGTGACGACAGTTCGAGCGCCTTTGCGAAAGACTTCTCCCTGTGGAGCTGACATTGGTGGGGATGCCGCATCCTCCGCGCCAAGACTGCGGTGGCTGAGCGTCCCGCCACAGGACGTACACCGTTGATGCGACCTGGGAGCCTATCAAGCGCGTTTGTTGTTCTACATACGTTCGTCCGCGCTAGAAATTGCAGTGCGCGGTTTACTGACCGGAGTTCTTGGAAGGCCCGAGCGTCTATGCAGGTAATCTTCGTTTTTTGGCTCAATGGCGACTGATCCGTCAACATCTGCTCCTCCGCACTCGACCTTGCAGTACATCTCCCCTTGTTTCCTTATCGCGTACTCATGTCTGCACAAGTTCTCCTCCGCTACCTAGGAACGCTAGAAACACAGTGCAAGCCAAAAATCTGATTGGTGTTATATAGCCACTGGCTATCGATTGGCTTCGTGTACGGACTCTTTCACGCTAGAGATTGCAGTGCACACCCTTGTATTTTCGTCGGTTTTCGCGATGCACTCGCAGGAGGTCGCAGTGGGTCAAACCCCAAAACACCTTCACCAGTCTCGCTACCCAGCAACTCATGAAGTGCGACCCTTGTTCGATGTACACGCAGAATACCGCGGCAAAACTGGCCCAAGTTACCGAACTGGGATGTCTACTCACAAGAGACGTGACTTGGACGGCCTCGTCCATGCCAAAACTTGTAAGGCAGGTTGCAGCTTCCGATAACTGAACGGCAGGCGCAGCATGCCACGGTGTCTTCCACGCTAGAGATTGCAGTGCAGGCAGTCGCAGCGGGGGCCACCACACCGCTTCCACTACAGACCCGTCCGCGCTAAAGATTGCAGTGCAACTCGAGTATCTTGTCGTCTTGAAGATTTGTGACTTCCCTGTCAGAAATCGCGAAATATGAACCTCTTCACGATGCCTACCATTATTACGGCCTAGCAGTTAATTGAGTGCAATCCATGTTTTGCGCGTATACACCTGGGCTGAGCTCAGTGGTACAAAAGGCCCCCGTTACTGCCCTTAGGAGGCTGACCACACCAGGCGCGACCCGAGCCCTCGTCCACGCTAGAGATTGCAGTGCAAAATCTGGCACTAGTCAGATTCTCTCCCGATTGGCCACCAACTTTAGCTTACATTCGGGCACACAGGCTTGTCGGTGCTAAGATTGCAGTGCAGTGGTGTGCCACTTCGCGGCAGAACGACAGATTATGCTACGGTGGAAACGCCACACATGCTGATAACCACTTACAGGTCTATGGATATTGTCTAGTTATCTGTGTCAGCTTGTGCATCTGTGGCAAGCGAGGCTTGGAACTGTGGTCTTTATGGTAGTAAAGTGTTGATCATTCATGGATGCGCATCTACTAGATGTGCTACCAAAGCATCAGATCAGACTCCGTTCAGCCTCGCGACTTCGCCCATGCAGATAATGCCAGCTGAAGCCCCCGATGCTAGACCCCGAGGGTACTCACCCGTCCATACATCCAAAGCAGTCCAACCGCCGAACGCCAAAGCTCAAATCGTGAAACCCTTCATCGCACCCTTCGGTGGACAAAGTTCGCAGCGTCGCAGAACCCTCGTCACCAACCAAGATCATCAGGAAAGTAATTAAACCTCTTCCTCAACGAGCTCTTCAACAACGACACCCTCCTCATCAACAGGCTCCTCCTTGACCCGCTTAGCCATCGGGACGTAGTCATCCTCGACCTGGCCCTCCTCGTCCTCCTTGTCTGAGGTCTCATCGTAAGTAGGCTTACGCCTGCCGTTGAGCGTGCGCTTGCCACGCGCTGCAGTCGGAGACAGAACTTCGTCGTCGTCCATGAGACCTTGGGGACCGTCACTGTCGGCGTCCTCGGAGACGGCTTTCTTTTTGCGCAGAACGGGCTTGGCCTTCGAACGGGGTGTCTTGGGTGTGGAAGCGGCGCGAGTTGGCGAGGCGACGGCGTGGGTAGTGCCGCCTTTGCGGATGTTGGTGAGGCGGTGGGAGACGGCCTTGGGGGTGCAGTCTGGGGATGTATTAGCTCGAGTCGCTATGGGTTGGAGTGTGAAAGAGCTGTGAGGGAAGAGTTGGGGGTGTGATTGAGTGTGGACATGGGCAGTGCGATGGCACTCAAGAGCTGGAATGTACTTACCGCCACCGATCTCTTCAGATAGGTACTTGAGAAGTGGCGCGCTGCTCTTGATATCATGAAACTTGAAGATACCCTTCAGAATCTGGCATTCCGGTCAGCAACTGAGACAAGGTGAATGGCAAGCCAGCGGCGCGCGAGATGAACTTACGATCTGATCTTTGTCGGCGGTCCAGTTAACCATCTTGACGGTAGTGTTAGGGGTTGGTCTGCGGTATCAGTCAGTAAATACGAAATGCTGGGAGCCAAGTGAACTCACTTTGTGGTATGTTGTTGGTTAGAACGAAGCTGAGTGCTATGCAGAAGCAAAGGCTAAAGAAAGCTTGATGAAGACGCGTTATGGGCGATTGACAGTATGCGATGGGGATGGGAAGGAAGACAAAGAGGGAAGGTAGGAGAGCGGGGTTTTATATCTTGCTGGCGGGGCTGGGGAGGCAGAGCGCGCGACAAGGTGAAGGTGAGAGACTGGCACTTTTCTGGCAGTGGGGATGGCGCTAACAGCTCGCTTGATGATAAGGCGTGGTAGTCGAGGCGAGGTGAAGGTGGAATTAAAGAACATGGGCCGCTGGACAGTACTGAGAGGAGCGAGGAATGCATTGGTCTGGCGAAGATGAATGGGTGAGCTGAGGGTTGTGGGGATAATTGACATCGGTAGCAGTTGGCCAGTCATCTTCACTGCCACAAAGCCGCCAATATCTCCCTGTTAGTTCATCTACTCCCCTTCGAATAGGCCCTTGTTGCAAGCACAAAAACACAGACATAAGCCTAACACTCCGCGCTGTATTCTTTTGCTCCGGAAGAAGGTGTAAAACCAAAATATATGGGTACCGAATACTCTCTGAAGCGAGATAATGTTACAAGACACATCACAATCCCAAAACCAGCAGCCATTCATGAAGTTCCTGCCGACTCAGCTCCTAAGCCGTCGGATCAACAAATTGTCTCTGCCCATCCTGCTCGTCACCCTCCTCTCCATCATCCCCCACAGGTTCACCATCCTCCTCCTTCGCCCCTCCAACACCCAGCCCCGCACTCTCCTGCTCCACAGTCCCTCTCTTCTTGTGATGCCACTCCTTCCACAGATCCGACACCATCTTCTGATTCTTCTTGTTGTTGACATAAATCTTCAACTCCTTAGGTATCGGGTACATCTTATCCATGAAGTCCTGCTTGTCGAGCTGCTTCTCCGTCATCGTGACTCTCTTCTCCGCAGTCTCGGCTTCCCGGACGAAGTACTTGGCCCATCGGAGTTCGTACTGGAAGACGGTTTCGCGGCGCCAAGGAGTGCGGTTCTTGGTTCCGGCCTGGCTACTGGCTGGGAGCTCTTCTTCTTCGGCTTTGAGGTCGTCTAGGACTAGACGGCAGAGACTGGGGAGGGGAATGTCCGCGGATTCTTGGTGGGCGCGCTCGAGCCAGAGTTTGCGCAGACGGTGGACGGTGTTTTCGTATGCAAGTTGCGGCAGTAGACCGCATGGTGGTAGGTCGTTGCTGAAGAGAATGGGCACTGCGCGGTCAGCTAACCACCTTGAATGGCGTGCGTCGGGGCTTGCTATCACGGGACTGATGTTCGTGAAGTTGAAAGACCTACTGTTGGGTAATAGCGCAAGCTCTTCCTCAGAAAGCGGTTTGTTGCTCTCATCGTCAGGCTCGCCATGGCCGTCCAAACCAAGTCCAGCAATGTCGTCGGACACATCGGTCCATTCATCTTCTTCTTCGACATGTGTTAGCGCTTGACATCAGGCGTAAACCTCCCGAAGTCTTGGCATACCCTGCATCTCCGTTGTTTGGCCTGTCGGTGGAGCTGACATGTGGCTAGGTCCAAAGGGCAGCCGGGGCATGCGTAGCGAGCGATGATAAGGGCAGCTGAAGATGACCCCGCCGAATCGAGTGCGCGCACAATAAGGAATTAGAAATTAGAAAATGGGTGTTGCGCGTTGACGTTGCAGCGGGAATGCAGGCTTCGGCGATCAAGCAAATAGAACGCCAGCGTCCGCGCCTGCTGCCCAAACGCAGGTAGTGCAGGGCAAGAGCTCATGACGTCAGCGCGTGACTAGACCCTGGAAATTGTACAAAATCACGGGATGTTGACATTCAGCCAGGACGTTTTGACAGAAGAGACACATGAACATGATGGAGAAGGTAGTACTACACCATTGTCGCGAACCAGAGAATGTCTTGTTAGTTCATTGATTGCGACATCTGTCACACAACCTCAACCACGCAGTAACCAAGTCCATGCTCATCTACAAAGCCTTGCCCATGAACTTCCTCTTGGTGTAGCTGAGCCACCACTTGCTGGGTGCGTTTGTCTCGTCCGCGTATACCCTGTTCAGTAACCGTGTCGCTAACTCTTGTCGCATCTGCATGATGTACTGTCGCAGCACTTCAGCGCCGTTCCTGTCCGCTGGCGCCTCGAAGGCCTGATTGAGCGGGAAGCCTGCGTCGCCCGGAATCGCAAAGTTGGTATCCAGCGCGATGTTCATGACAGCCTGCCAAATAGTCAGCTTCGAGCGTCCACCTTCTTCATCCGCCCACCCTACAGCATACCTTCTCAGCTTCTCTCCGTGACATGCCCGGCTTGATCTTTCCCAGTACCTCACTAACGTATAGGATGCCATAGATGAGGACACGATCGGCGGGCCCCTTGATCTCGAAGTTGCGGAAGAATGTGTTGGCGCGGAAGAGGGCAAGGATCTCGTCTAGCGGATCGTACGACTCGTGTGAGGCATCGATGGTGAGCTCCGTGACATCGGCAGGTAGAGCTGGCAGCTGGATGGCAGGGCCGCGGGTGCGTGTGCGAAGTGGAAGGAGAGCAAAGTTGCCTGATGCGCCGGTCAGTCACTTTTGCCCATGCCGGAGCTGGAGGGTATAGCTGTACCAATCAATTGCTGATTGGGCTCATCGAGGAAGACGGAGTGGTAGGCCTGGCGGGTGTTAGCTGTCTGTATGCATGCTGAATGACACGTGAAGCATTGGTTTAAAGAACGCAAGCTCTAACCTACCGGCATCTTGAGGTTGTCGCCTAGCTTGTGTGGTGTCTGGGTGTTCTGGGAGCTCGGCGGAGGTGACGGCGCAGCTCCGCTCGGTGAGGTGTGCTGGTAGGGCTGAGCAGCGGGGGGTGACTAAGCCGCCCCATCAACGCGTCCCTGCGCGCGGCGCGTCTCCCTCGGATTTCTTACTAACAGCTTCCATACCGCCAATCAACGTTCCAACGACCTCAATTCGGCCTCGAAATATATAGAAACCCTCTACGTCGTCATTACAAATATCGCAATGTCCGACTACGAAGATGAGATGGACGTGGATGCGCCCGCAGTAGACAACTCGATCACTTTTGGCGGAGACCAAAAGAAGGGCAAGAGGAGCGCTGCGAATCTACCCGTTGAAGCTGAGGATTCCCTACCATGGTAAGTCTCGATCTATGTCGACTTCGCATATCTGCTAAACATCAAATAGGGTGGAGAAGTACCGACCAAATTCACTCGATGACGTCGAAGGCCACAAGGACATAATAGCGACCATCAACAAGTTTGTAGACTCAAATGTACGGTCTGGAATTGCCTCCAAGAAGCTAAGCTAACGCATCCAGCGACTACCCCATCTTCTCCTCTACGGCCCTCCAGGTACCGGAAAGACATCGACCGTCCTCGCACTCGCACGCCGCATATACGGAAATAAGAACATGCGACAGATGGTCTTGGAGCTGAACGCCTCAGACGACAGAGGTATTGATGTTGTGAGGGAGCAGATCAAGACATTCAGTAGCACAAAGCAGATTTTCTCTGCGGCACCCAAGGCTGGAGATTCATCGCTGGCAACATTCAAGCTCATTATCCTCGACGAAGCCGATGCCATGACTGCGACCGCGCAGATGGCCCTGCGACGAATCATGGAGAAGTACACCGCAAACACTCGCTTCTGTATCATCGCCAACTACACACACAAGCTCTCGCCCGCGTTATTATCACGATGCACGAGGTTCCGATTCTCCCCGCTGAAGGATCGGGACATCAGGAATTTGGTCGATAAGGTCATTGAGGAGGAGAAGGTTAACATCACGCAAGACGCGACCGACTCGCTCGTCACGCTCAGCAAAGGAGACATGAGACGGGCACTTAACGTACTACAGGCCTGCCACGCATCAAGCACGCCGCTTCAGACACCCGGCAAGCCCGCACCCGACCCATCCACGATCGTGCGCGACGAGATCACGCAGACGACCATCTACGACTGCATAGCAGCACCACACCCGTCAGACATCAAGTACATCATCGAGACGTTACTATCGAAGAACGACATGACAGAGTGCTTGCGCACGGTCAATAACCTGAAGATAATGAAGGGTCTTGCGTTGGCAGACATCCTGACGGCGATCAGCGAGGAGCTAGTCAGCAACGACGTGCCGCCGCAGGTCATGGTGACTTGGATGGCAGGTCTGGCAGACATCGAGTACAGGTTGAGTGGAGGTGGTAACGAAGCCATACAGACGGGCGCAGCGATCGGCGTTGTGAGGACAGGCGTGGAGTTGTTGGAGACTGGAAAGAAGTAGCACGTTCGCGGCACTAGTTGTGAAAGGAGGACAAGAGCGAATTGCTAGAAATGATACCATTGGCACGCGCAAAAGTAATGCGACAAGACTACGTCCGCACCACCCAAAGATCGCAGTCGTGATGATACACTACAAGAAAGTGGGGCAATGTGTCTCAGGATACTCAAGATCACCGTGGTGATAGGACGAGAGTCGTGTTTTGCGCTAACCACGCTAGTCAACACCCACGCGACTCGGACGCGCCTTCCGATTGACGTACCCCGGGATATATACACAACGCATCAACAATCAACACAGTTATCTTAGTCGCGTTCCCCATAGTCAAAGATATTCCTGCCCTGCTCCCTAAACGAAACACGTGCGACCACCTTGGTATATCGAATAACCGGATACGCGCGACGCGCATGCATACTCCGATCATGCCTGTAAAGGTAAGTCAACTTGCGCGTTGAATGATTATCGGACTAACATCAAACAGAGGAGAGACGGTCCAACGAAGCAGCGACAAGTCAGTCTGCGCAGAAGCAGAAGCATCGATGCACTTGCTCTTCCGGTGATTACAGAAACAACCAAGTTACAAGAGCGTCGAGCAATCGAGGGAAAGAGCAAGCGGCCGCCTAGGTGGCGAGGGCCTGTAAGTACTATATATACATGGCGCAAAGTCACCCAGGCTCATATCGCCGCAGCAGCAGAACAATAATCCTCTATCTCACAGGCCAGCGCCGACCATGCCATCGCAACGGGAGTCGATACCAGCACGTGACCTCAGGAACAGCCCACCAGAGAGCCAGCCACCACCATCATCAAACATCCAACTCCGCTTCTCTTTCTCCGAATCCTTCATCGATGATGTCGAGCGACAAGTCCACTCCGAGAACAACTTCAATCAAAGTTTCTCGGGGCTGACCATGACCCCCGGTGCTAGCTTCTCCTCCTCGAGTTCACAGTCTACCACCAAGGCATCTCCGGTCCAACCAATCCAACCACAAACGTCCATCTACCACCAGCCTCCGGTCTTGATCAAACCGGGCAAGAAAAGAGAAGGCTATGGATTCAGCTACTCGGAGACGTTCATGTACGATTCAGACGACTACCCCGACACGGAGTGCGGGGACGCGGATGACCAGTCGGCTGAACTACACACCACGAGGTCACTGGATAGCAATCCGTATCTGAACTGGGATGGCGGAATTGGATCACAACAATCACAACACGGGCAACAATCTCACCTATCCCAACAATCACAGTGCTCGACCAGGCCAACATCACGAGATTCCACAACAACGATCCCAACCCCAACCACCTCCTTCGACGACCTCGTCGTCCTCCGCCCCCCAGGCTCCTTCCACCTCGCCCGCCCACAACGCCACCTCCCTTGCACAACCGCAACGCGCGAAGATGCCCTCGCCCTCCGCGCGTCTGCCACTCTACTCCTCTCGAAATACACAGAGTCCTCATCAATCCAACTCGCCCTGCTAACACGCATGGAGCGCATGATGTATCTGGAGCAGCAGAAGCCTGGTGCGACGGAAGATAGTGTAGCGGAGAGTTTAGAGTCGTGCGTGAGGAGGTTACGAGATTGGTTGGTGAAGAGTAAGGATGAGAGGATTGAGACGGGCGAGTGGAGGGGCATGGTGGAACATGAGATTGAGTGGGTGGATTGGATGGTGAGGGCGGCGGAGAGGGGCGTGTTGCATGTGAGGCGGAGGGGGTGTCGGTGTCGGCCAGAGTGGGAGGGGCTGTGAGAACGGACATCCCTTTGCACTGCAATTTCTAGCGGCGACGAGCAAGTCTGTCAGGCAACTAGCCAGTAATGTACGACCGTTTGCATAGCCGGGTCGTGGTGTTGTGTGCTGCACACCTTTTTGATTTTGCACTGCAATTTCTAGCGTGGAAGAGGAGATATATGAGTGAAGTAGCCAGTCATACAACTCTCCAAGAATTTGGTGGCTGTCAAAAGGCTTGTGCAAAGCCCTGCGATCGGTCATTACGGTAAGCCATGCGCGGGTTTAGACCGGATTGTCTGATTGACCAGGCAGCATTTGTACAGGTCAGGCCGAACAACAACGCATCAATTTATTGCACTGCAATCTCTAGCGGCGACGAGTACGTAGGCGGAAGATATAGCCAATAATACACGTCTTTTGCACCGCCCTGTTACGCACCGCTGCAAGCCACACGGATCCAACCCACATCGGTTCCGAGAATCATTGGTATGGATGGATGCGCAGAAATGGTGGCTGGAGGACCATACGCTGC